GAGTCATCGAAACTTAATTACTCTTCATTTAATCGAATCAACATATTTTCGATATAGAATCTATGCAGTAGTCACCCAACAACCGATGCACAGATCCCTGTTGCAAGGGATCCAATAAAATCCGGCTTTAATGATTCCATACGCATGACTGAGTTTCGGCCCCCGGAGGCCTTGGCGACGAGGAAGAAGATGGTAAGTAGCGCCCTTATGCAATAAAGCTGCTTGTAGAAGATAAGATGTGTTATTCTCAGTACAATCTTGTACAAGCACTTTCTGCGTGACGCCGCCGCTTGTTCACGCCCCAAAAGGTCTGTGCAAACAGACACAAGCCTGCACAGCCTCCATAATCCACAAGACCCAAATGATGGCTTGACACCAAACCAAAATAATAAAGCCGAGGAAACGCTTTCACATGAAAAGATTCCAACATGCGTAGGCTCAAGTGCCTTTAGCACTCGGAGCAAGGATGGAATTTCCACAGAAAATTCCACCCCCATATTTTAGAATTCCATTTGATGAATTCCTTGATGCATGTTGCTCCGTTCAAGTACTTGCTCGTTAGTCACTTGTAAGACATTGGAATCCCATCGATTGAGCCACCCGAACAGACTCCGTCCTCTCCACCAATCCAGTCCCTCGATCGTCGCCAAGCCAATCTGGGGTCTGCACTTATTTTGGTGCCATGCTGAAAGTCTTGTGGCCTGGACGTTTGCCAATCCTGGGGCATTGACAACACCAACCCAAGTTTGGCTCCCCCACCGCAGCCAGCTGGAAGGAGACTTTTGCCAGGCGGTGTCAAGTTTGCAATATCACAATCACAGGCTGAGAGTGTCTGTTTGTGTGGCCTTGTGTGAAGTTGTCAGGCCTATTTTGTGCGACCTCTGAAATCACAGTCTAATTGGCCCACAGGTTGAGTCTCGTTGCTGAGCTCAGTCCTCAAAGACAACTCGTCATGCAAAAACACTTGCGCATTCACAAAAATCCGTTAAGTTATGTTATTGAGATATAAAATGAATTGTTTTGACGTTAGCCTTCTGGTAGGGGTAGAAGATAATTATACGTTTAGATATTCGGTATAAATTATATTTGATGAGAGGAAACTTACAGTAAACGCATACATATTCACGATTATTACTTTGAAAGCTATTCCGGAAAGCATCCCCTTTGCTCACTTAAAATAATGTAATTTTCTAGGAGTTTAAGTCCCCAAAATTAAATCAGAATAAGGCCTCACGGTACCAGTCAAGCTCCCTGGACTCTTAAAAGACCTTTCTATCCAGGTTGGAATGCAGGCTCGAGGCAGAACTGGTCTCTTCAGCCCTGACAAAGGGATTCGAAAATAGAACTTGTGCTGTCGTATTTTTCATATCGCCTAAAAACTCGGCCACCTCGATCCATACGCACTAAGCCTTCCTTCGTCATGTGACATGCATCGTCCGAGCCAGAAGCCATCATTTACCAAAAAATTCACCAAAGAGTCTAAATCAAAAAGGGTGGCCAGCTCAAATCCCACTTACTTCCCATACCTAACGCTGTCATCTTTATGAGTCATCACACGATTTGGTTGGCCACTTCGTTATTTTCCTACAAACGTGCAGACGAATGAAGTTGATGCAATAAAAAGAGACTGGATGCGGTCACAGCTATTTCCTTAAGTTACCATGTGATATAGAGGCTTTTCATAGGTTCGTTGATGCCTGTGTGCATGCAAAACCCATCACCTCTCCATACCTTTAATCAAAAATCTTCAGGAGAAACTGCTTTCTGAGAAATATATAAAAGATTTGGCATAACTCTGTAAGATATGAAGACCAAGATGGTGTAGCCTTTAGTACGACCGCTGTCTACTTTCGTTGTATAGAAGCGGTGTGACCCTGTTTTTGCAAACTGATCGTATTGTCAGACCGACCTAGACGAACCCACCTCCTCAGGAGTCCATAGTATCCATGACAATTTGCAGAGCCGTACCATTTACTTGGTACATTTCCAGACGCTTCGTCGGCATCTTCTGTGAGCCTTATCAATTTTTAACACTAACCTACAATTTCTTTTGTCTCTGACGGGATGTAGCTTAGGCTCAAATGTGCCAAGGCTTACTGACGATGTCGGCGAAACTTCTGGGATTGTGCCAAGTCCACGGTCCGACTCCCGAAATTGCCGTGGCTTCAATGGACTCTGGACAAGGTGTGAGCCTCCAGGTATCTTTGAGAATATGATCAAGTTATAAAACTTGGAAATATCGTTCATCTGAAGACCCAAATCCTCATGTGCCCTGCGTGAATGCACTACTCATGAGTCAGATAACACATTAAAATCTAAACCAGACCAGACTACAGGTTAGTCAAGCCATCACCTCTTTCTGTTTTCTCCCTCTCCCTATTCCTAATTCTATCTAATAACCAGAGGTAATTGTTGCACTTGTTTCTAATATTCTAGATATTGTTGGTTGCTATTGTCAATTGACTCTCTAATCTTGCGTTCATCTGTGATGTCTCAATCACCTGCAAAACTTTAGGTTTTCACCCACCCGATCTGGTATCCATTAGTGACACTATGTTCAGCCAACTCTGATTTCACGAGCAATAAACTTTTTCAAACAGCTTTGTGTTCAAATTGGTCGACAAGTTTCTCCCACAAATACTACAACCTGAGCACAAAGCCTTGTAACACCTTGATCTGCGGAGGAGGATCAAAAATCATCTTGCCTTATGCATGACCCTGATGTTTCATTTCTTCAGAAATTCGATGATCTATTTGGCAGGTTGGCGAGATGGAAACTTCAAGAACAGGGAGAATTGTTCAATGTCATGTTTTGCTCTAAATAGAAGTCTTTTTGTCATCCTATTGTCTAAGATTGTAAATTATTGACAATTAATCCTGAAAAATAATTGGCCTAAAATAAGATCTTTGCTAGACCTAACTCTTGACCCTGGTGAGATACGTCTGCTAGAGGAAGCAATGCTATTATCGCTGATTCCACAAACTATATAGGATCGTGGTTGCCTCCACTCTTAGCGAATACCTGGATTGCTTACCCAGAGGTCCGGCTAATTCAAGAAGTACTAATAGTTAATAAACTATAGGTGTGATAAATGGATAAATATTTTGCTAGCTGACAACAGGAAAAAGAGAGTCGGGACGAATTCCTTAGGCTACTGATTAGATAAGATAAGATGAATGAATTCGCGATAGAGTTAGGAAAGGACATTAAATTACCCCCTTAGGATGTGCTGGTTTGTAAAACAGGGAATAAATCGGGTAACGATATGTGAGCCAACCCATATATTCCTCCTAAATTGCCTCTCTCATCATATAAGTTGTGTTAAAGTAGCGGCTATGAAATCAATGATGATAAGAATTTGTGTCTAGCAGATGCAAGTCTCCAGGATCAAGAGCTTGAAATGTATACAAAGATTTTGTGAGAACAATTGTTAATCAGGATTAATTTTCAATAAATACATAGTTATAAGTAATAGGACAGGAGAAAGCAACTATTAAGAGCAAAATAGGAACTTTGGCAACTTTACGACCAGATTCCTGGTTATACTGTATTGTCAGCTGTCGAAATAGGTAAGAAGATTGCTGAGCATGTAAAAAAGAAGACCAGCACTACTTTCAGACATCCTCATTTTAGAGGATCTTAAGACGCCCCATTCAGATCAGGTTGTTAGGTTTTATACTGTGTTAGTTTCCCTTTGCGGCGGACTTGTCGACGCATACAGAAGAGTTTATAAAAATGCAGAATCACCTTAAAGAGTTTCCGGACCTAGAAATCGGAGGTGACTCAACACCTGGTCACTAAAAGATACCAAATCGAGTAGGTCGGGGAGAGTCTTCACAGTTAAGCGGAAGATTGAGGGGTCAATTGAAATCAACAATTTAAACAACCTTGTGGGCAAGAAGAACCAGTATGGGGAAAATTAAGCAAAATGTACCCTTAACTGTTTGATAGAAATAGGAAGAGGCAACAGGAAGAGATTCTGAGTAAGAGAAGGCTTTACTAACTTGGCTTCTATTATGTTGGCTGACTCATGAGTAGTGCTTACACAGACGTAGACCAAACGTTAGCATTTTTGGCTCACAGAATATTTTTTTAAGTAAGGAAACAGCAGAAACTACATACGCTCCTTATTCATTCAGGTAGGGTAAGTATTAAGTAATTGACTATATCGTGGAATCAAAATTCATCAAGATGACAAGTTTAGGTACAAGAAGTAGCTACGATTTCAGTTGGCCATCCCTTTGCTTGGTTTGTGTTTTTTGTGTAAATTTTTTGTAAAATCTAGTTTTTAGCCATAGACGCAAGCTCAGGACGGATTACTTGGGGTCTCAGAACGGCGATTCGAGGTCTTCTTATCACAATCCACCAGGCAAAGCTCCAAGATACTCCTATTTCGGTGTCTAGGGTTGGATACACAGGCGCTAATCCATCAGAAGATTCTTCGAAGCCAAGATCTTCTTCATGTCTAGGTCTTGTTCAACGTAGAACGACATCATCACTTTACCAGATAGCCAGACATGCTACAGACTTATTAGTTGAGTCAACTATTCCACATTTCAATTAGGGATGGTTACGAAAATGCAAACTCAATATGCCTCCTAACTCGATGATGCTACTATATGCAAAATAAGTGGCTATCCGATCTATCAATTAATCTTGAATTAATTTATTTAAAGTAGAGTAAATCACTATGACAAGCATAGTTTTATGCTAACAAAATTTGGATGCCGAGGAATCGCTTGGTCACATTTCCATTTTGAGTGAAGGTGTTTGGTGAAGAGATTCGAAAGTCGATCTCTCCAGAAGACAACGTCGGATTCATTTGGCTGGGCACGAAAGCGCCTGTAGAAGCTGTTTGGTACAAAAGTCAAAGTCAGCCGAGCATACGGTAGAAGCTGGACATGAGATATGCCGATTAGCTGATTTTGGTGTCTGCGGCTGAACCTAAAATAAGATAGTCAAAGGTATGAAGACCAAAATGATGTGGCCCTTAGTACGGGCCAGAGGGAGCGATATCACAACTGTTTAGCAGACAATTGGTCAAAGGATCGACTTCACTTATTATTCATATCTAAGCCGAGCTTCGAGGCTACCAATAAATAAGTTATATGAGCTGTATTCACTCTATTTCATATAAGGTGATGAGGAACTGATAGCTAAATTTTCCCACAATGATATGAGTAAAGCTGACGTTTCCATTGAATTTCACACTTATTGCGACTAGACTCGCATGAAGGACAGTTGCAAGACCCAGTGATTGCTTATATACGTTTCTGAGTCTGTCTTTGTCCGGCTAAAAGTGTTGCTTTCAATGCGATTCTGCAAAAAATAGGCTTTGCATCAGATGGACTAACGTTTCTCACTGGAATCTTTTATTTACCCAAACTTGGTTTAGAGGTTGTTTGACCTTGTTTTCGCAACACGGTCATATTGGTAGGAAGACTTAGAGGAATGCACCTAGTCCGGGGTCCATTGTCTGCATGATCATTTTCAAAGTTGAACCGTGGTCGTGGTACATTCCCAAACGTTTCGCCGGCATCGTAGTTCAACTTTGGAAATGATCTGTAGGCAATGGACTCCGGACTATGTGCGTTCCTCTAAGTCTTCCTACCAATATGACCATGTTGCGAAAACAAGGTCAAACAACCTTTATCCAACTAACGGAGACTGCGACCACACAAAAGGCTTCACCATCTTGGTCTTCATACCAAATTTGGTTTGTTGAA